TATATACCCGTCTCTTTTCCACCCTCCAAAAATAGCAGGGTAGACTGGGTTCTCTAGCATTAGGTGGAAATCGATGGAAGAGAAGGAAAACACAATGTCAAATAGCGGAGATGGCAATGGGATTGGATTCTTCTGCCATACTTAATTATGCATGACAATTTAAAGGTAATGGCTTTTTGTCCTCAAAAAAATATTACCCTATAAGTTTATGGGATATAGGTTCGAGTCATGTTGTAAGGAAATTAATTCTTGATCTTAATTAAACTGTTACTTCATTGTTGTATCAGGTGCTGCCTGAAATAACGTCAGCATTCAAATTACTAGATTTGCCTTAAAATCGAAAGGAATAAATGAGCAGATCCACTCATGGTAAAAAGGCGCAGCACACACACACGCATACACACAAACACACACACATACATATATATAATTTATTTGTTTAAACGTTATTTTAAAAAGATATTCATATTTGAGTAGATGATCTGTTTTTATGTATTTATTTAAAAGTATATTTATTTATTTACATCTACCGTCCTGAATACCCGAGAAAGTATGCGCCCTTTTTATTCAAGCCGGAAGTTGTAAAAAAATGAATATACTGTTTTTGCGCATTGACAGGCTCCAGATACTTGTATTTTTGTATTCATATATATTAACCAACCAGCGGCGTCGTAAGAGACGCGCGCTATTCTTTGAATTGGCAGACGATGAAATATATTTTAAAAATGAAATTTTGGAGGCTCACCTCAGAATATGATCGACAACATTTTCCATATTTAAAAGGAATATTTAAAAATTGGGAAAATATATATTAGCCAATAAGTTTGAGATGAATAAATCTAAATTTTAGATTCATCCTGAATCTACTATTTTGTTATGAATATGGTCAATTCTTGTTCGCTAACTAGTCTTTCAGTGAATCTTAGACCAGTGTGTTTGTACGATCATTTGTTGCACAAATAAAACTGAAATTCTCACAATTAATTACTCACATATTTCGCATATTTATTCGAGTATACAATATTACAAAATAAATTTAGCGACATTTACGATATTTCTGTTAAGTTTCTTTACATGATGCGACACTAGCCTTTATTTGATGCGGATTACTGTTGAAATGGCATACACACAGTGAAAACACTGTAAGCCTGTGTCACATAGATCTGCATACATATAGACGAATTTTCCGTTTGTTCTATACTAACGCAATTCATTCAGGCGTACTGTAAAAAATACACAAAATATTCCGTGAGAAATGGTTCGCAGAGATTCTTTATAATACATTTCTTTCAATTTGAAAGAAAAATAATAATTAAATAAATAAAAAGTATTGAAATGTGTAGATCCGTGTTTGAAGATTCTTAATTCCTCGTTTATACACTCAAATTCCGCTCCACACACACACACACACACACAGACGTACATATATATATATATGTATATTTATTATATTTTTCTTGTATGCTTAGAAATTGAATTGTCCAAATAATTATTCGTTTCTACTTTATGTGCCAAGACCACACAGGACGTTGGAAATCATGACTCTCCACAAATTCCTTCCCTTTGTAGCTCTTAATAAATTTTGTTTTTTTGTTATCATTCCTAAACCATGTTCCACTGTCCATTTGCTCAAGCTCACTAAGTATGTGCAAGAAACATATTTTCCAAGCCCTCTTTTCTCATTATGTGCCAGAGAATTATGGTCCACAGATAACCATTATGTATAGTTTTTTTGTATCTGCTTTAAGATTTTATATATATATATATATATATATATATATATATATACTAGCAGCATGGCCCGGCGTTGCCCGTGCTTGATTCAAAAATCGGACGACTCATACAGCAATCGCTATCACTTGACTTAAAATATTTTTGCCCTTCCTTGCCTTTAAAGGAGTGCCCTTTGCTGTGATAATGTTGTTACATGCCTTACTTTTTGCCTATCTCACACAGCGATTTTTTTCTAAGCTCTATACTAGACATTAAATCTGTTACGAAAAAAGAACTAAACAAAATGAACACAAAACAATCAGCTTTAAAAAAGGACTCGTAACTGGAAAAACCGAATGAAAAAAGAATGTTAACAACAAATACTTTTTCACACCCAACCCAGTTCTGCGGAATCAGAGTTAACGTTGAGTTTAAGCAAGCGAATGAGCCAATTGGAGTAAAGTGCCATGCAGATTTAAATTTTTCCCACTTGTGACGAATGCAGCTATCGATTTTTTTTGCATGCTAGGACGCTAGTTAACATTCGTGTCAGTCAGCTGTTGGCTCTCACGCTGGCCAAAAGAATCTTCCTGCCTATTCGTGGCAGCCAGCTTTATGCTCTTACTCTGGCCAGTAGAAAATGGCCGCAAACAACATGAAAACTGCCGTAGAAGCATGAAAAAATCGATTATTTTCACTATCGATGAGAGTTGGAAAATACAAAGTCGGTCTTGGCCTTTCCGCTAATTTGGAGTGCAAATCCGTCGAAAATTGCGGCTGTGCATTCGTTACACACACACACACACACACATCCCTTTGTATATATATATATATATATATATATATATATATATATATATATATATATATATATAGAGAGAGAGAGAGAGAGAGAGCCTGATAGAGAAAGAGGGAGAGAGAGAAGGGAGAATAGATATTGTAACTGACATTGTTGTATGTGATGAGATGCTTAAGGAATAATGAATCTTTTTTCTCCTTTTTTATTGTTCCGAATTTCTTTTCTTTTGTAAGCCTAAAAGAAACGACGGGTTCGATTTCTATAAAACACGCACACGCACACACACATACGATAAGTGAACATTTATATAACAACGCTAGCCTTGTTTACACTTATATAATGAGAGGAAACGTGGGAATCAAATCTAAACTACTGATGACTAATATAGTGTAACAATTTAACTGCCCAGTACAAGATTATGTTTCTTGTCATAATTCAATTAACTATATTGGTCTTAACACCACCTCCCTCAGAATGCGCCTCACATGTCAATTATCTGACCAAAGTGCCATAAAAAGGCATTTAGCCATACACAATGTACAAGAATCCTTAAGGAAGATGCTAGGTCCCGTAACATTTGCATAAAACGGTCGGAACCCAGGATAAATTTCATCGTATTCAGAAACGAAAATGGATTATTGAAGGTTTATTTTTAAATAGAAAGACGCCAACTCGTATTCTAGCCACGTTCATTTCGCACAGCTCGGAATAAATGCTCTTAACATTTAGGCGTCACGAAAAATCCATCGCAAACAGACAAACCTGAAAATAAAAATAAAAACAAGACTTAAACAACAAACCATGAAAATTGCGAAATAAGTGGCCGAATGCACAATGGAACAATAGACAATAAGAAGACTTCTTACACTCTCCTACTCCCAAGAAACGGAAAAATTGTATGATTATTACAAAAATTAAATAACAAATGTACCAAATTTTCCTCGTCTCTCATATTCAACGAAACACGTTCGAAATTCGAAAGCAAAGTAGCTGCCCAAATATACATTAAGTTTATATATATATATATATATATATATATATATATATATATATATTACGATAAACGTGCAATCAATTTACAAATACATGAATTATTCACACAAAAACAAATGCAAAGGTTAATGATTTAAATGGCGAGACATCCATCATCGCAAACAATTCAAATAATATACAAAAACCTCCGTATCCGTTATGAATGAAATGATCCTTGTTTATATAAATTTCTGCCGTATTAGTTCTTATTTTTACTACAAGCTTTCGTCTGTTCCTACAGACATCTTCAGGTATAGAATAGATGTTGTTCTTGTTTTTTCTCTTAGTAATAAGAGGACAACGAAAATATATTAGAAAAATTTAGCAGTAAAAAATTCGTTCATCACCATATATGAACGCACAACGTTTAAAAAATTTAAAATCAAACTCAGCGTTGCTTTAGCGCGCTCCAAAAACAGTAACTCATTTTCAATAGCATTTTCGGATACAACAATACATATATTTTCGTTGTCCTCTTATTAAAAAAATTCGCTTGAAGATGAAATGGAACTAATGCTTTTAATTTAATTGCAAAATTAAATTAGGGGTTTTTAGCTTCTATTTTTGAAATATGGTTGGAACGTGTAGCGAAAATAACCATATTTTAAATCAATTAATTTATAATATTAATGCTCTGTATATTTACATTGAGCACTATTTTGTAAAATAAAAATATCTATAAGAACACCGGATTTTTATATCTTACTGTTCTTTCTTTTTATTTATATACATATATATATATATATATATATATATATATATATATATATATATATATATATATATATATATATAAATAGAGAGAGAGAAATGGCGGAAAGGGGGAGAAAGAGAAATGAAAGGAGGGAGTTATATACTATAACGTAGAGTGATATACAAATCAGGACCAGTGACATACCCATGGCTACCAGCATCTCCATTCCCCATATATATATATATATATATATATATATATATATATATATATATATATATATTTGTGTGTTTATAAATATATATATATATATATATATATATATATATATATATTTGTGTGTGTGTTTATGAATATATATATATATATATATTTGTGTGTGTGTATATATATATTTTTTTTGTGTGTGTATATATATATATATATATATATATATATATATATATATATATTTGTGTGTGTGTGTGTAGTTTTAAATAGATTGAAGGCCATGAAGATAATGGTATTGTTTGGGTATCTGTCAATGTGAATGTCATGATCTGCATGCATGTATCGAGAAAATTCTATTTGTACTTCGTCTCTTGTGCTCTATTTCGTCTGCATGGATCCTAATTGGGGTGTGTTGTGCTAAATGAGATAAGACAATAGTGACATCATAATGGCTGCACTGTCCTCTTGAAGCCGAAACACGAAGATTGCTAATTGAGGACTAAGGAGATAGACCCGTGGAAAGTGGAAACAAGATTGACTATTGCATAACAAATGCGTATACGCGAAAAAGGTATCTTTATTAAAGGGAAACGGGTTAATTAAATGTAGATTTGTTTTCATCCATGCTTTGGCCATGCTTTTTTTAATTCCAGTTATAGTATCAGACTGGCATTTACTTACATCTATCTATCTATCTATCTATCTATCTATCTATCTATCTATCTATCTATCTCAAAAGCTCTCGTATATTCAATCGAGTACTGTTGGGTAGAAAGTAATTCCCAAACACTGGCCGTTACAGCTATTAACGCTCCCCTCTTCATTAATGAATTGAGCAAAGTATACGGATGTAAACAAAAGCTAGTTTGTTTACATCCGTATACAATAAGTTAGATTTTACTATACTCGCTGCCGTGCGCCGATAGTTTAGGGGTAGGTTCTCCAACTGATGCTAAATCGGTAGGATTTCGATTCCGGCATGAAGCAACCTGATGTCTAGCCACACTGATTAGCTGTCATACAGCGGAACAGGACAGTATGTAGATGACCATATATATATATATATATATATATATATATATATATATATATATATATATATATATACTTTTCATTCCCATTATTGTATCAGAATAGCATTTACTTACATCTATCTATTTACCATGATATAGCTATATATATATATATATATATATATATATATATATATATATATATATATATATATATCAAGTGAGATCAAATATGAATCGGAAATCTGGCAGGATGAGAGCGTAAGTAACAAACAGGAAATCTAAAAGGTTTCGCTTATATTAAAGTTCCATCAGAGAATCAGATATAGAGAAAAGGTAAGAAAGTTAAAAAATTCTGGTCTTTTTAATTTTGGGATGTTTGTTTCTCATTGAATAAGCTGGCTTCAGGGGTATTTTGTCTTGAAAAGCTGCATTTGGGGGTAAAGTTATGTATGTGTGGCATAAGTGTATCCATACTTTAAGAATCTAAAATACGTCTAAAACTACAAGCAAGACAGGTAATATTAAGTAATAAAATACTCAACATTTTCTACTGCACAAGCTTAGGTGAAGGCGAAAAAATGTTAGTTTTATAAAAGATTCTTATTTGTTTCTTATCCTATCATATATATATATATATATATATATATATATATATATATATATATATATATATGTTCTTATTCGTTCCTTATCCTATCAATTATATATATATATACATATATATATATATATATATATATATATATATTATAAATTAATTGATTTGAAATATCGTATTTTTTCGCTACACAGTTCTAACCATGTTTCAAAAATGGAAGGTAAAAGTCTGAATTTAATTTTGTAATTAAATTAAAGACATTAATTCCATTTCATCCTCAAGCGAATTTTGGAGTAACTTTTAAAATTACTGGGTTTTAAAGACACAGCTAAAATCATAATTCACGTTTCCAATGATACAGAGAAATCCACTTTCACCAAGACAAGGGGTGTCTGCGTGTTCATTATCGCTGTATTTTGATGTATCAGTTATTAGTTACGTTTTGGTAGCGGTAGGGATGTATTTTTCAATGAAATCTGACATCCGTTAAATGCATGTCGTCTGAATTTTTTAAAAATTTTATTGTTAACGGTAAAAATTCTTACATTTTTTTCTATTTGTTTATTTAAAGATTTTTGTGGGTGTTTAGGTTAGAATCCGTTTTATTTAACTACGATTTGAAAAATATTTTCACTTTTAATTTTTCATTTTTAATATACTATATTTCTTTTAAGAAGAATTAAATGTATTTGAATCCCTTACAGTATGTAGAATTATTTTTACATCAAGTATAAGTATGTATATTATTAGGTAACAAATTGCAATTGACAATTATGACAGTGATCTTTTAAAATACTTAAATTGTGATTCTTTTTTTTTTAAATACAAATATAAACCAAGTTACCCCCTTTGACGTTAATTTTTGAATTAACGGAGCGCGTTTCTTGCCCATTTCCCCAAAATTCACAACTATCTATTACATTAATTTTTTGTCTTAACATTTTCACTCAAGACGATCTTGGATGAAATGCAAAAGTACATGCAAAATAAAAGAAATGACAAAAACTACGTTGTCTTTCTTAATCAGTTTAACAACAACACTAAGAAATTGATCCGTGAATTTGAGAAAATGAAAATAAAAGTAATTAAATATATTATGTCTAGATTATTCAACCAAAGATACTTGAATGAAGATATGCCTACGTTCCGACAGTTGTAAGCTACGACCTTTTTCAGGCGATATGCGTTGTAATTTTGAACCGAACTCATTATTTAGGGGTAGATTGTTCTCGTTCCATGTGCCATAACTTTTCTGAGTTTCAGTCATTCTCTTTTAGCATCTGAACTCTCTAAGGGTTGTTCCCCTTTGCTGCGGCCAGGTATTAAACGCACAACTCAACTTAGGGTCAAATCACGGGATTACTTCGCTCTACTATTGTATCGAACCCTTATTTTTAAATTAATGTATGCACGTTTGAATTTATACTTAATTCGTTCTCATTTCATTTGGATATATATATATATATATATATATATATATATATATATATATATATATATATATATATATATAAATTCCGACAATTATTTTAAGACATAAAAGAATGTATAAACATAAAAATGTCTTAAAATAATTGTCAGACTTTGTCCATTTCATAATGTGTGACGTCATTAGTTTACATTTGATGCACCATGAGCAGATATGAATATACGTGAGATATTCATAGAGATTTGAAGTTGAAATACAGTAATGCTAACCGAACTCGACTCTGTGGCCAAATCGGTAAAGGCACGTCAAGCTAAATGACGGTTCCATATAGGATACAGGTTCGAAACCTGTCGGAGGACGAATATTTTCCGTGAAAATTTCTCGGACATTCAGGCCGGTAAATGTTGTTTAATACTGTTTTTCGAAACAGAGCATTTTCTATCTATAAAAAGAATGTATAAACATAAAAAAAATGTATATATATATATATATATATATATATATATATTTATTGGTGATATGATCAAATGATTTGTGCGGGTGGTCTGATTGTCGACAAAATCGACAGGAGAGTCCAGTATATTAGTAAATATACATAATATCGAAAGTTGATAACACTACTCGGAGTTTCATGCACTTAATGCAATCTTCGTGTGTGGAGATTCTGAACGTTAAATATCGTAAAATATGCTCAGACAAACCGAGTTTGTCTTAGGATCGCAAAAACATGAAACCCAGAGTTACAAACTCACATCCATACAACTAAATATGTTAGCTCTATCATTGGTATTGGGCGCTCTCCAATAAGTACCGCGCATGTATATAATTACACACACACACACACACACATATATATATATATATACATACTGTACATACACACCCACCCACACAAACACACACACACACACATATGTATATATATTATATACAAACACATATATATATATATAGATAGATAGATAGATGAAGAGAGCGGGAGGTGGGTGGAGAGACAGATGTAACTAGACGATGAGTGGTGTAAAGATTGTGAGATAAAAATATCAACAAACTGGAGCCTATCCAATTCTATAGAAATCTTTGCCAATATCTACAAGAATATCATCAAAGATATTCATAACAATATCTTTATATGGCTCCCAACAAGGCCATGGATCAACTAACTCGAATGAATTGACGGAATAATAATTCATTTTAAATGTACACATTATCTCCACACATCATTAACCCCTGGTTTACAACTCCTGCGCGTTTATAATATCAGTTGTTATTCATTAGCTATGTGCTCAATATTGAAATTCTATAGATACTATTACCCCTAATGAATATTCAAATATATTAACTATCCCTTTTTAGTGAAAATAACATTATTTATTCAATCAGATAATATATTATAGCGTCATTAAAATATCACACATTACAAACTGTATATACATCGATATATAATCTTGTCAGCGACCAATACCTACTTACACAGTGTGAAGCCTTGTGGGTGATGAATAAATCTTCCACCTACAACCCTTTTCTCACAGACAAAACGTTGCAAGCATCTCGCTACTCTGTCGCTATTTCCATGGCAAATGTTCTAACGACCTACATTCTTTAGTTCCACCAAATCTAACCCTTACAGTCAAAACTCGCCATGCTACGTACACTGTGTCGAACCACCCTACTTACACATAATACGGTCTTGTGGGTGATGAACTATTTTCTCTCCGATACCCCCTTTCCCGCAGATGAATTGTTGCAAGCATCTCGCTACTCTGTCGCTATTTCCATGGCAAATGTTCTGGCAAGCTACATTCCTTAGTTTCAGCATTTCTAACCCTCACAGACAAAACTCGCCATGCCCCGTACTCTGAGTCGAACCAACTTAATTCCCTTCTTATTTCTTTAGTAGTAAAGAAGTTTCACTCAAAAAGTTTCATCGCAAGAAACTGACTCTCAAGATGATGCTTTCCTGAAGAATTTATTTTCTTGCCTCACATACAACAACCTCCTTCAATAACACTATACTTTGGATTTTGTGCCTTGTATGGCGTGAACATTAGTATTAAGTGCGATAAGGCAGATGCTTTTTATAGCAATGATGTTTAAACAAAAGCCATTCATATTTAGTCAAACAGTTAATTAATAAGAATGCAATATTGTTTTATTGCATACTTTTTCTTTAAGTTTTAATATATATACAAAATTCAGTTTTCACTTAGCTCCAGAAAAGAATCTTTACGCATGGCCAGTTATATGTTGCACGCTCAAGAGTAAGAAATCCTAAGAAGTTATTCTTCGCTGCTAAAAAGAAAAAAAACATTCTTACAAAATATTGTTTACCATGAAATCCTATAAAATTAAATTAGAGAAATTATTAAACCTCGAATTAGGACTTTTGTCAAGTATTTTCCAAACAAATTAGATTATTCAAACGTAATTGATTCTTTTACGAAATTGAACGAAACGTAGAGGATGTAAATGTTAAGAAAAAAAATAGCAATAGATTCAACAATACTAAATACAATACTAAATACAATACTAAATACAATACTAAATACAATACTCAATTTATTTGTGAGGATTTCTACGCGCGTTAGTCAAATTGCTGTCAATGTTAGCCAATATTCATGAACCATCAATTTTATGTATCACCAGATAATCAAAAACTCATCTCCAAACTGCCATTTCGCTTTCAAATAAGAGGTTCTGAAATAGTCGCAATAATTAAAACCTACATTCTTTTTGGATTTCATCGTTGAGAAGTATGTTCTACTTGTAGATCTTCCTGGAAACCACTTCTCTGTGGTACAAACTCCCAAGAGGATGTTTCCCCGATTACTCCAATCTTAAACAGTTCAAGTCCATCATCTTCCCGTCCTGTCCACATAAACTATCCCTTAATGTTACCCTCTACTTCGAGTAACCCCCGGGCCTTCTGCAGTGTGAGACTTCCTTTAAAAAAAAACACAGCTCCCTCCGAGTTTCATCTCTGAATGTGTTCTTACAAGCAACTGCATTCAATAGAACAATAGTTATTTGAATAAGATAATCTTACCTTCCAAAGTGTTTTATTTAATACTTTTTGTTTAGTTTCACGCAGATTTTCTAGAAGTATACGCTGAGTGCTATCTACTGACTTTAAGTTAGACAAGTCGGTCCCGAAGATTACATATATTGCAGATTTCTTTGGCCGTCAACATGTTGTCTTGATCAGTCTCCATAACATCTTATGCTATAACTCTTGAGAAAAAACACGCGTTGGTCAATGCTTTGAAAATCGAGAGGATTTCTGAAAAGGTGCTTACTGAAACTGAGAGTATTTTTTTAACTATTGCTCGCCGGCACACATTTTTCGTCGTCTTCAAAATATTCACCTGATATCCATTATTTAAAGCAATAAAATATTACAGAAATATGATGGAAGAATTTTCATATGTATAAATCAACACGCTTTTAAAATAAAGTTTTCAGTTAAGCACTGAAAGCATTATAAAAATTAAAAAGGTTAGGTCACCGAAAGCTTTTGCACATTTTATTGAAGGGTCATTTCGCATCTTCCTTTCTACAGAATATGAAAATCAGGCATAGAATGCCTAAAATAGGGCCAATGTAGAAAAAGCGAAACAGATCATCCAAGCTGGATCGTATTAGAAATTTAGAATATTATTAAATGGTCGAAGAATTTTACATGAAACTGCGTGCATATATATATATATATATATATATATATATATATATATATATATATATATATACATACAGAGAGAGAGAGAGAGAGAGAGAGAGAGAGAGAGAGAGAGAGAGAGACATAACCAACACCAATCAGGTGATAAACTTATCCAAATTAATTCTATTAACGTTCTAGCCTAAATTTTGATATGGAGCATTGTATGATAAAACTGCCTGCCAAAACGTAAAAGAACCAGCAATTCTCGTACTTAATATATATATATATATATATATATATATATATATATATATATATATATATTCTGTGTATTTAGACAAAATACTTTTAAGGCCAATGTTATTCAAAACAAAATACATTTTTGTCGGTGAATTTCAACGATTGACTTTTCCAAAGTATAATCTTTCTCAGACAAGAAGGAAATTCCGTCAGAATTTCTCCGTATATAGACGTATTACATATTTTATACGCATGTTATCTATGACTTCTCATGTTATTTTTAGATGTCATATTCAGTATAGAAAAAAAAAAAAACAACATTAAATTCTTACATTGGCTACACATGTACCATACTCCATCGTAGGTTGACTTGCCACTTTTCGAAACTTAGCTCATTTTGTGTACATAGCAAACATCACAAGCAAATCAATCAAAACAAAACTATCAACGTAAGACAAATATTAGTAGATATTGTGATAACAAAATACAATTGTGAGGCGGCGTACAAAATAATTACAAAACATATATATTTCTAATTCATCTTTTCTTCTGGTGCGGTCTAGCTCTGATTAATTGTTTTAAATATTACGTTATTTTGGATTAATATTTATCCCAGCCTTCCATAAAAGCCAGAATGTATCAAGGAAAATCGTGTTGACTATACTTTCAGCACCAAGTTCTTGATAATGATTGAGACGCTGATAAGTAGTGGTAAAAAAAAAACAGGAAATTAATGGCAAAATAGAAACAAATGTGTGATGCATTTAATTGGGGTAAAGTGATATTTCTTTTGATCTAACTACACATGCACAGGAAGAAGAGGAAGATTATAAAAATGCAGATGTTTTTTTATAATTATGCACATATTTTTTCCTGTCAATTATTTCCTTAACATTCTTCTAGTATATAACGATTTATATTTATATATATATATATATATATATATATATATATATATATATGTGTGTGTGTGTGTGTGTGTGTGTATGTGTGTATTTAGGCAGCAAATTCTCTTTTATGCATGTCTGATTGAATGAATTACAGGCATTATGTCTGCTTATTTTTAACAAAATCCGTTCATACTCACGAATAACCTTCCGTGTACTGACGTTAAAGTATGAGAGAAATGTGCTAAAGCTGTTTAAATTTCTTTTATTTTCATTTCCAAAGTACTTTCGATCTTCCTCCAAGATCATATTCAGGGGTGCAAGTGGTACAAAACTATACGTTGTTTATTAGTCCAAGTATTTTTTTCACGCTTTAACATCATATTATAACATGAAAAAATTACATAATGGATAATTTTTTCACGTTCTAATGAACACTCAACACATTTTCAACCGTTTTGCATTTAACAGCATAATGAAAAAAAAATACGGTAATGCATAACAACTCACAAGTTTGTTATACATATTTATAATAATGAACAGCATAACATCGATATATCTTGCATTGAATACGCAGTCGCTGCCGATGAAGGGATAAATATATCTAAATTTTTCCACATGAAGATTATTGTATATGATGGCAGATCCTCTTACTTGTAGGTCGTGTTTTTAATTGAAATTGGAAGTATTCAATGTAAGAATATGTTTCATGAATTTCTGGAACTGATTTTACATGATTAATTCTGTTTACGAGGTCTGTTGTATCTCTGATGTAGATTTTTACTTCCTTAGCTAGGGGCTGTATGTAATGGTTTACGTATTTGGATATTTTGGTCGCGTGGCAGTTAAATGATGAAATGACCGGTCTTCCTGGGTTGTTGTCTTTGTATATTTTGGGAAGGAGATAGAAACGGCAGGTGTGATGTTTGTGGGTGTAAGTGTTGTGCATGTTTCCTTGATTAGACTGTTGCGAAGCACCATGTTTAGCGAGCTTTTTAATTAGTTTGATATTCGGAGAGAGAAGAATCTCTGGGTAGGGATACATTTAATTTATATATATAAGATTTAAGAAATAGCAGATATTTTTCTACACAGTGTTCAATATTAAAAATATTAAAATAATATTTAAAAATATAGCGTTAATGTTATTATATGAAAAGAATAACTTTTGAAAGATCAATTTTACCCCGACACGGATGTTTCTTGGCAAAATTTCCAGTCATCATTATATATATATATATATATATATATATATATATATATATATATATATATATATAAAGAAAGAAAGAAAGAACAGTAAGATATATAATCCGGTGTTCTTATAGATATTTTTATTTTTACAAAATAGTACTCAATGTAAATTTACAGAGCATTAATATTATAAAGTAATTGATTTAAAATATGGGTTTTCCGCTACACAGTTCTAACCATGTTTCAAAAATGGAAGGTCCGAATTTAATTTTGTAATTAAATTAAAGACATTAGTTCCATTTCATCCTCAAGCGAATTTTGGATTAACTTTTAAAATTACTGGGTTTTAAAGACAGAAAAAATCATAATTCACGTTTCCAAGGATACAGAGAAATTCATTTCAACCAGACGATGGGTGTTTGCGTGTTCATTATGGCTTTATTTTAATGTATCAGTTATTAGTGACGTTTTGGTAGGGGGTAGGGATGTATTCTTCAATGAAAACTGACATCTGTTAAATGCATGTCGTCTGGATTTTTTAAAAATGTTATTGTTAACGGCAAAAATTCTTACGTGTAGCGGAAAAACCATATTTTAAATCAATTAATTTATAATATATATATATATATATATATATATATATATATATATATATATATATATATTGTCTTACACTTTCGAACAAGGCGTTGAATATTTTGATTTGGATTGCGGATAAACTGCATTTTTGTTCAAATAATTTCGACCGACTCAGTCATTTTCAAGAACCAACGTGGCGTCTGTATAGTAGGCAAAATTCCTTTGTCTACATCCTTGTATTTTTTGGAAGGTTGAACGTTTAAAATGCTCTACGGTTACGTCATGTGCAACAGTGACTGAAATACGATTTGTTAATTTCAATATGTCTAAATCTAAATTGCTATTTTTTATTCATCTTAGAGAACATTTTTCCTTCTATCAACATGGCCAGTTCTAACCCCGACGAGGCTAACTTATTGCGACTTGTCGGTTTAAAGTTTTCCTCTGATATGTAATGGAATGTCTGTATGAAGTCATTTGCTAAGTTTACTACTTAGTAAATTGATTCACCGTGTCATGCTAAACAGATCATCTCATTTGTATCTACCTGGCACCTGTATAAATCTAAAATTCATCTGTGCATTTAACATTGTTACCACATATGATTTGGTGCTTCTTCTATGTATCTTCAGATGTTAGAAAAATCCAAAGATTCTGCAATGTTATAGGTCATATCTGTCATCTCATGATGTAATTTGCCCATACCAATTCTAAAAATATTTTCAGGGCAATAGTTCTGCTAAACATTCCTCCTTTAATACATCCATTTCGCGAATTTAATCGTAGTACTAGATTGGCAGAGAGGCGTCATTATTTAATTGTTGAAACTGCTAAAGGTAAGAGGGAATTCTATTATAATAGTTTTTACACTTGGCCTTCTAGCCAATGGAACTCTCTTGAAGCTTCTTGCTTTCCAGTCAGCTACAATCTATACAAATTTAAATGCAACTTAAATACAAATTGTCAAACTATCTTCTTGAATGGTGTTCTTTTTATAGACCTCTCTGCCCAGTAACCACATGGCATTATTGCATTGCTTGATTATCTATCTATCTATCTATCTATCTATCTATCTATCTATCTATCTATCTATCTTTGTGTGTTGTGTACGTATATATATATATATATATATATGTGTGTGTGTGTGTGTGCGCGCGCGCGCGAGTATATATATTTCAGTAGTAATGGAGTGTTGTTCATTTCTATCTATATTCATATCTATCTATATATCTAGCTCTCATTCTCTCTCTCTCTTTCTTTATATATATATATATATATATATATATATATATATAGAGAGAGAGAGAGAGAGATAGATAGATAGATAGATAGATAGATAGATAGATAGGTATGTATATTTTTTATATACAAAGAACAATATTGAGGAAATATATATGAAAAGTGGGAAAAAAGTTTTCTTCAGATATCCCACACCGTGATAATAGAAGGTCTATTATCAAAGTTCCGGCTATCTATTAACAAAAGTGATGAAAAGAAAAGTATCTGAATGAAATGGGTTATATTAAAAAGTAACAAAATTTAGAATTCCCAGCATCCCTCGTTAGTGCGTATGTGTAGTCGAAACACTATCACAAATTTAGTCCGATGAAGTAATATATATATATATATATATATATATATATATATATATATATATATATATATATATATATATTCTCAGATAGAGTGTATATGTAAATCTGTAGAAGAGACAAAATTAATAAAAAAGACTAGAGAAAAAATATAAAGAATAAAAATAAAAAAATTATCTAGATTGTTTGTAGATTGTGATAGTATAAATTGAAAGTATGTGCTATTGATCGAAACAATATTGTATAAAAAATAAAAATAAAATCTTAAATATTACTCGTTCACTTTTGAAAAACTTTGAATCATGATACTTTGTGTCCTCCACATGTTTTGACTGACCTTTCAACCACCTGAATATTCATGAACGTTCTCAAATTTAAAAACATTGATAAACCAATGTCACCCACGACTTTGTATATAAGATTGTGCAGCAAAATAATTCCTATATTGTGTTGATAAAATTCCTCAGAGGACGAAATGTGTTGCCTAAGAATAATTTTTTCGTCTTGTCTCTTTTTATTCATTAACGTATATATATATATATATATATATATATATATATATATATATATATATATATATATATATATATATATATATATATGTGTGTGTGTGTGTGTGCGTGTCTGTATACAATTGTTTTAATAAACAATTTTTACGAAAACGCATTCAGTTTCATCGATAGGACGATGGGAAAACTACAAAGCGATCATAGAGCCATGATATATATATATATATATTGATAATTGCGATAAATGAGCACCTATCATTAGTGTTGAAATAGATCCATTTTCGCGTGTGTCATGTACGATGCACCTATGTCTTCTTACGTATGGAAGTAATTTCGTGCTAATCACCTGGTCTTCTTGTCCGTGTGCTTGAAAGCATTTATCTCTCGGCGTACTAACGAATGACAACGCATGCGCAAATGAAACGGTCGTTAGGCGTTTTTGCTGATTTAATTTCCTGTTATTTGCGAGAAGGACGGACTGCAAATAATTCTGATCGCATTTATCCCAGTGTAGCAATAAAGAAGAGGAACTAAAAGACCTAGGTTTTTGGAAGATCATATTGGCACGTATGATTTAGATACGACGTAAATGTGTTATTAAAGCAAAACGTACCTTGAGTTTTCGAAATATAAATTGAAAATCTACCACTATCATATCTATCTATCTATCTATCTATCTATCTATCTATCTATCTATCTATCTATGCACACACACACATATCTATATCTTCATCTATCTATCTATCTATCTATCTATCTATGCACACACTCATATCTATATCTATATCTATCTATCTATCTATCTATCTATGCACACACACATATCTATATCTATCTATCTATCTATCTATCTATCTATCTATCTATCTATCTATATATATATATATATATATATATAAACGTCAATTATCTCAGTCCGTGTGTCTTGAACCCCCTCAAACTCGTGCCTCATTTGCTCTACATAGACATATTATACCTTTTTGGAATCAGGATGATCCCGGGATTAAAAATCTGCCCTTCCTCCTGTACACGATATGTTGCTGAAAGGTTTTTTGGTTCGATTCTCTTGCCAAAATCTTAGAGGATAAAGCAGTTATTTTGAAAAAAGGTCTTCTTAGTTCAGTTTTTTAACAATTACAGACAAGCATAACTAAATCTGGTATAAACCTACAAGCATGCTGGAGGGCTGGCGTCTATATGTAATTCTATGTATATATATATATATATATATATATATATATATATATATATATATATATATATGGTTTTATCAGGCAGTAAGTGAAGATGATTCATTTAAATTAACTCACTTCTAAGCGTATTTGCAATGGTAAGTTGGAGCGAGATAGAGGAAAAGTGGGAGAAGGAGACATAGAATGATAAAGTGTGAAGGAAAGTAGGATAGAAAAATAACGAAAGCTGTTTGAATAAATACTCCTATCTGAGATCATAACTAGCCAATAGTAATTTCCTTGTATGCTTGCAAGCCGTCATTACTATCGTTCCCTCGTTAAATCGCTTATTCTGCTTTCGGTACATGATTGTCACCAGTTTTTCTTCTTGTCATAATTTGTATATCCCGCCTACGATGTTACATAGTTTTTTCAAGGTATCCTATTTAATATTGAGGATTTTTATTATTCTTTTCCTTCACCTCCCACACATAAGTGGCAAGTTTCGTATTATTTTTGTATTTTGCCAGTTTGTTATACCACATGTTTTTTAACATATTTTCTGTGGATCTAGCGTATACCATTTCTTCGCCCTTTTGTGCCCAACAGCCTTATAAACCACACATTCTACCTTGTAGTTACCGTTTAACAGGCAATCAGCTGCGTTTCGGCAATTGCAGCTTTACTTGACGGTATTTACTTTTGCACACTTCAGGTTTATGTTTTTGATGTTCTGCCCCTTAATTATATTTCAATGTTTCTCCAATGACTATATTTTTACAGTATTTCAATTGAAGATCTTACGCGTCATGGAGTTTTCGGGAAAAGTGCATATTTAACAATTTCAAGAAAATTTTACCAATACTGGATTTCACTAGCAAATGGAAGCGCGGGTGTAACCAAGTGATGTTTCTTTTTCTTTTCTGGCTTCCTGATATGATGTTATTACGGGTTTAAACACCAGCCTGGATGTTGTAATGGAATGTCCCATTTTCCTTCAGGGATTAATTGGAGATGCATCTCCAGCTGTGCTGGCCAAACCCTCTGCCTCCGGGAACAGAGGATCCGCAGACAGGCTCGGATACACCAAGTTAAACTCGGACTTTTGCCACATCTGGCCGCGTGGGGCGGTTGGTAGATATTCTTGCTTCGGCAATTAGTTGGAGATTCGTCTCCAGCTGTGCGGGTCGAACTCTCTGCTTTCGGTCAGACGAGGCTATGCCGAAGAACTATTTCGCTGTATAATAAAGAAATGTTGAGTGCTGCTAGAATTCTAGAGAGCAAACAATATTCCTACTGTTAAATAAAGTCTGGTTAATAGTGGAAAAGAGATGTTTAATATACAGGGCTTGTCTTATAGCGAGATTTTACCGGTAATGTGATTTATATAGACTTTTAGTGTTTTCCACCAGGAATTTTCTTAAGTGTTCGTGTAAATTAAGCTTAGACTGATGTTCTTTATAGCACTTTGATCTGATAAGTGACACGTGAGGCGTGTAATATACTATCCCTAAAGAAGTGGTAGTATATCCGATATAGGTAATTGAGTTATGACAAGAAACAAAGTCTTGAACTGAGCAGTGAAATTGATATGACTATTTTAGAATATTAATTATGCTGCATTATTTAATATACATACATATACATATATATATATATATATATATATATATATATATATATATATATAGATAGATAGATAGATAGATTGATAGATAGATAGATAGATAGATAGATAATGTATGTATTACTAGGTGTAAAACGAAGGCATACACATAATATTCGGGATATTCATTATGAACAGGCGAACAGGTTTGAGAAAATACCGATGTTTCACAAATTATAGAAAATTGAGGAAGAGAAGAAATGCAACAACGTAATTACATTTGTAAGTAATCCCCAAAGTCTATGATTTAAAGAAACCAGATAAATACATATTTTGTTCAGCCTTCGATGGAACCGTCGTTTTTAGTGCAATAAGCAATTCACATTTGAGGACAATTTAATCATTCCCGATATTTCACGACTGGACAAGCTTCTCAGAAACTGGGCTAGAATAGGAGAGAACTTTTCTAGTAAGCTCATAAACAATCTCATTTTCTAAGGTTTTGACAATAACATATATTAAAACCCGTGATTATTTTTTGAGTAGATTGTGAAACACATACACACGCATACACATATATATATATATATATATATATATATATATATATATATATATATATATATATATATATATATATATATATACTACTACTACTACTACTACTAATAATAATAATAATAATAATAATCGTAATAATGGACTCTCCAGGCGGTTTCAGCGTATGAGGATCTGACAACTTAATTGATTCAGTTATGAAATTTTGTGCGATAATCTTAAGTGGCAACATAAGACCTGCTAGTGATTTACAAAGGAGGCTGCATATGGAGCAAGAGTAAGGATTGTGGGATGAGATCACTGTTAGATTGGCTGACTTTTTAGATCTTGCTCTCGCTTCTTGAAGACAATTCAGACAAGCTGGTTGAAAAGTACTGAGTCCAATAAAACACTCCATTCTACCCGCTCCAAGGCTCGAGGTTGTTATGTCGTATATTGACAGCTGATAATTGTCTTTTTGTATCTTAGCCAGGGTCGTCCTACATTCCTGCAGCCCTGATCTAACTGGCTGTACATTAGGATATATATATATATATATATATATATATATATATATATATATATATATATATATATATTAATAAATAATATATATACATGATATAACGATATATAATTTTCTATAATTTTATATATCAACAAACTGTATTTAGAAAAATATGACAAACTTGAAAGAAATCTTATTTGAGAGAAATATGCGCTACGGCATATTTTTCCGAAGAAATGAGATCAAGCATGAGTAATCTCCTGGCTATTTCACCAATATCTACTCGCCTTTCAATGTTTCAATTTATTTTCATTTTTTAATTCCATACGTAAATTTTTCAGGACTATTCCATATTCGTCTATGAAGTGGCCATCATATGTTACTTTAAATCGCCAAGATTTTCTATTTTCTAGGAAGGTCGAGAGATTATTCGAGGATTCCGATCCATTTCCATCCCACTGTTACGGGTTGTGAATTTCAGTGTCATATAGAATTTTATATTTTTTCCATTCTGTAAAACAGATTCTTATGCCAGCTGAGTATCATGGAAACCAAAACTTCATGCTACATGCCGGCGTCATGGGATACCAAACCAGTTCCATCACCAGTCTTTTCTGGTGAGGTGGGTAAGCTGCTAGACACACAGCAGGAATTAAAATATGACCTATTATAGTACATTTTATATCTTGGACATCCTTCGAGACATTGAATAGCTATCTGGCCCGCCCTATCCAAAAGGTTGCCGACCACATATCTAGCAGAATAGAGTATTCTGAGCTCCATAGCTATATATGCAGCCAGTGTAGAGATGACAATCTGTAGGTGGATTGATTGACCAAGATGAGCTTTCAAGCTGGAAGACATCGGATGAGGTTTAACCTGAAGAGAGACGGGCATTTGGTTAAGATACGCTACGCATGTATGGATACCTTTCCCGGCTTCCAACCCAGATGCGTAGAGTAAACTTGTCAGTTGCTAGTCAGCGCATAGACCCAAAGATCAGATTTTCTCATTAGAATGATGAGGATGATGATGAAGCAAGGTTCTTCTTTATGTATGTTCCATTGCTTGGTTTTATCATAACTCTTTACACAATTCTCTATATATTGCTCTTCCCACCCACTCATGTCTACCATTGAGTTTATAATCTGTTGTTGAATTCTTTTATTTTGTGACATTTGCTATTTTGATTTATCATATCACGAGGAATATTAATTTTATTCTTAATATTGATGGTTAGCCATTATTATATTTATAAGTTTGACGTCATCTTCTCAGAGACACCTTTTAACACAACGTTAGGGAAACAGTAATCCCATCCTTGAAGTTTGCTCCATTCCATACTTTATTCTTCACTACATCGAGGCTATGTGTGACTGAAGTTTGTGATAAACATTCAAAATCTCGCGCTTCTCGTCCATGTTGTCATCAGGTTAACCCCAACTTGTCGTTGCTCTCATCTGTCATATATGCTCCTGATACATTACCCCAACCTGGTACTCTTGCAATATCTTTCAAAAATATCGGCCATCATTGATGAACCCGTTATTTTTTCACTTGCCACAAAGCAAAGCAATGTGTTCGGCATAGTAAGTCTATCATTTTTTCTTTCAATTAATCGTCAGCGCTTCTCGCAATGGCATCTTCAATCGTGCAATAGTTAGCAACTGAGAAGTGAGTTCCATGTTCAATCGGTGCTCCATGTTACAGCCTTTTGGCAGATCTAAGCAACAGTTTGCAAACTGGGCATTTCCGCGTTCCATACTCCTTGAATTATGTTGAAAATCGATTCAAAAATCTTCTGCTTGCCTTTAATTGTTCTTGTTTAGTGGTATATCAATACATTTATGGGTTATTTAATGTCGAACTCTAAATATTTTGTACGCAATTTTATTTCATTTTTGGAGATAATAATGGTTTAGTAAAACAAGTCTTACTAATTAACCCACATATGGGGGAGATGTAGTGGGTTCATACTTTTCCCAACCGTATTTGTGTGAAAGTGATTATAACGAATCCAGCTGTAATTGGAACTCGGTTCGCCGATTAAAAATTATCCATTACACCACCGGCACATCCAAGTCTTGAGCACCTGATATTCCCAAGCGGTCACCAATCTAAGTACTGACCAGGCACAATATTGCTTAATATCGGTGATCGCACGGAAATCGATGTTTCAACGTGATGTGGCCGTAAATCCGTTTGTCTTTAGAAATAATTCTGTAATATATGAAGTTAAATTTCGGTGGGTAGATGGCTATATAGTTATTTCTGGAGAAGGGAATTGCTCATCATATTCTTAGTCGACTAGATAATATGCATACGTCTGCTGTCATATCCAGCTCTTCAATTGCAAAATATTTCATTAAAAAAAAAAAAAAAAAAAAAACGAGAATTCGAAGCATCCTTCCGGAAGTATATGTCCCCTCTTTTGTGACGTTCAAATACTAACTACCATCTTAAAGTCCTTGAGATTATTTTCATTAAATCAAAACAACCTTTCATATGCAAATAGAACGATTGTTTACTGGGACTGGATGTGATTTCTTTATAAAAATTTAAAGATTTACTAAGCGTAGCTTAGATATGGAACAAGGTCGAAAGTATAGAGCACCAGGTGAAAATAGAACACACAACTCAATCGTAATTATAGCTAACGAGACAAGACTGCTGACTATTACACTACGTCAATTTGCTATAAAATATGAAAATATATATTTGTAAAAGAGAATATAGAAATTATACAAAATTCGTAACTTGGAAAAGACGACCATCAAAATTAATCGACACAAAATACCTGTTCTCTAAATACACAGAATTTTTATTAAAAAATATAGCTGCCTCTGTATATTACTGATATGGGTATACATTTTTCAGGTTCCGATTTCCATAGGCTGTGTATTTAGGCAGTAAATGTTTTTTTAATGTACTTATTATTGATGATAATAGGCATTTTTGCGTCGATTAATTTTAATGATCGACTTTTCCAAATTACGAATAATCTTACTCAAACAAGGCGGAAATTCCATCGAAAATCATCGAGCTCAGATGGATGAGGAGCGATAAATATTCTTGTATTATTTTCCTGTTCTTTAAGTGACTTAAAACAATAACAGACCATTTTTATGATAAAATTGGTAGAAGTGTACATCTTCATTGTATGAAAACAAACGCAAAAAAACATGCGTAGTCCTTGGACTTTGTTCTTTGTTTCGGGCTGCGACTGGGGCCTTAAAAGTGGCTTATGCTAAATCTGAGGGCATCATCATAGTTGTACTTAGAAAATGCTTTAAACTTTATACTTTTTACACATATTTTATACAGTATTTTCAATGGTTGTATCGATCTATGCATAATTAAAAACGGTTATTGTATATATAAAAGAAAATTTACGCTAACAATATGGTCACCAATACTACTTTTCAAAATGTTTTTGAAATGGTCTGAAAAGTTTCTAAAGTTTTTAGGATAAAATTTTAAGGCATATGGGGTTTTAACAATCAAAATATATTTAAAGCACTTTTAGGTGGGGTTACAAGTATTCGCGGATTCTAACTATTCACGAACGGTTCTGGGAACTCACTGTCATATGTAGAATAGCTTTATACATTTAATATTCTTCAAAGACAATCTTTGCAGGCTAGAATTATTAGTGCCACTTTTCCTGGCTACAGCCTAAAAAAAATGAGACGTGCCTGGCTCTTAAAGTTACATTTCTGACCCAATATCTCCCGATAGCAGTAACATGACATGCGCTGCCACATCCATTAAAAAGGCAGTGGTTTGGAAACACGCTTTGCCTTAGCACAGATGCATACGTGTGAGTCCTCACATTAAATAGACAGAGTGCCATAGTTCTCCCTATAGAATTGGGGAAGGGAAAAGAAAATGTCTTCTTTTTTTTATTTTGTCTCCCTTTGTTGTTTTGTATAAAATTATAGAATTATTTCTTTTTCTTCTTTTTGTATGCGCTCTGTCACTTAAGAATGTGGGTCATCACAGCTCTCTATAACTTCGTATGCATTGAGTGAGGTTTGTTTTTTTCGCCATACTTCCTTTTCTGCCATCCACTTACACTAGCTTGTTAAATAGTTCATGTAATGTTTCCCATTGCCCCTTTTGCCTTCAATACGCCCTGAGAGTATAACATTCTCAAAGACCTCCTTCCTTAAGGGTTCTAGATATTTGAACTACCCCATTCTGACTGTCGATATAAAGAAAATAATTGCCAGGTATGTTTTATAAAAAACGACTTCCATGTATCCTGGATTATAATACAAATTTGTGCAACGGAACAATAGATTAAAAATTAATCTCGCTATTTCTGAGAAAAAAAAAGGCAATCTGAAATTTCCTTTGTTTACAACAGGAAGTTGTTCTGTCAAGCAATACACCAAGATGCGTTTTAGCAAACAGAGTTTCCTCCCTTGATATTTAAAACCAAACAAAACAAGTCCCGTAAGTGAAACGCTACAGCAGTCATAATCACGAATAACAATGACAAAATCGACTCTACTTCCGGTAGTAAACCTTGTTGTATTATTTAAAATAGCTTTTCGACGGTTGCCACGTTGCTTCCATTTTTCTTTGTGTTCCAACTGTTTGTTTTCAGCTGCAGCCCGTCACTTCCAATTCGAAAGAGTATCACTCTTCTTTTCGGGGCTCATTAAATGACGGCAACTTGGTTTCTGTTGTCTGATGGAATCTCGACGCTCGCATCAGAAGAGGGAAATTTTTGTCTCCAGACGCCATTTTACTAGTCTCGCGAGTGTTTTACGTGATCGGAATTAGGAAAGGTGGGCATCAATCAAATCTCGAATCGATAAGAGATCTCGTTTGGATTATTTCTTGGTATATCACTTTTCTTTCTTTCTTTCTTTCTTTATTTCTTTCTTTCTTTCTTTAAAATTGTTCACTTTTATTTATCTTCGAATTCAGTCTATCTCTCAAATAATGTCAATCTCTATATCTCTCTAAGTTTGTTCATAAATAATTGGATATATATGGGAGCTATGGTTAATGTTTCTTTCTTTCTACCACGTTAAAGTTCTGCTTATGATAAAAGACTAAGAAAAACAGAGAAAAAGAAGCATGAGAGATCAAAGATGGCGTAGAAGAAGGAGAGTTAAAACGGTAAGAGATGAAAAGTAAACAAGACTTGGCAAGATAGGTGAAGAAGGTAGATGGTATGTGGAGATACCACACAAGAGAAAAAGATTAGGAAGATGAAGAACTGAAAACCGTTTTGAGGAAGACTATGATGAGGAAGGAAAATGTATCAGTAAAGAAAAATAGTGTAACAGAAAGAAATGGAGAAAATATGAAGAATTTGGGGGCTGAGAGAAAAGGAAAGAAAAGAGTAGGACTATAATGAAGAAGAAGAAGAAGAAGAAGAAGAAGAAGAAGAAGAAGAAGAAGAAGAAATTTACATTTCTTTTTAAGGAATGAACGTGTAGATGCACATGTTCCATCGGGACTCTACCTGACTTACCATCGCTGCCGTGTAGTATCCTAACTTACCAGATACGTCGGGTGCGCTGTCAAGAGAGAGAGAGAGAGAGAGAGAGAGAGAGAGAGAGAGAGAGAGACCATTGAATGACCCCGTGTATCATCAAAGACGTGAACCACCAGAGACGAGTATGAGTCTCTCCCCAGTCTGCATCCAAGCCATCGACAAAGTTGGCAGCAATATAAATGAAAGACATGTCTTCTGTTCAACATGTGCACACACACAGACACACAGACTCACACACACACACACACACACACACATATATATATATATATATATATATATATATATATATATATATATATATATATATATTCGTTCCAGGATTTATATGTAACTTCATTATTTATAATTTATTTCGACCCATTATGAACCATCCCTTCATTTAGCTACAATTTGGGCTTCTCATATTTTCACCTCGTGTTTATTCGCTATGCACACCTTGTTTTTTTATTAATCGTTCGTTGTCGCACGCAAGAACATTATCTATCTATCTATCTATCTATCTATCTATCTATCTATATATATATATATATATATATATATATATATATATTACTAAGTTCAACCTTTCACAAAATATTTGCCAAAAACAACGGTTTAATTAAAAAGTGCTTAATGCAATCTTCTAAAAGCGAAAATGTAGGGCAATTGAAAATATAAAATATTCGGAACATTGACCTTTAGGCTAGCACGGTTTCATCAGGCAGTAATATTCTCCTATTCTCCTTTTTCTTGCTCAATTTAACTACCTGATGATACCGTTCTGGTAGCCTAAAGGTTAATGTTTCAAATCTTATTATATATATATATATATATATATATATATATATATATATATATATATATATGTCTGTGTGTTTGTTTGTGTATTTTGGCCGAATATGCGTGAATAAAACGAAGAAATAAGCGTTTTCAACACGTCTCTACAAATGTTAGTAGGTTTTTGCTATTTGCGCATTTTTTCATTCAAATTGAAAGAAATCAATTACAAAGACTATTTGCGAAACAACTTAACACAAAATATTTTGTATATTTTCTTTGCAGTTCTACCGAATCAACTGCGTTAGAAACAGAATGAGTTTACATGTGAGAATGTGCGTGACACGTATTTACGTTGATTTATGAATGCGTATAAATTGTAGCAGTCGGCAACTGAATAAGGAGAAAGTTCTCATAGTACGAATGCTAGTAACTGCTGTTGACAAATAATTTGTCTGTGTGTATTTCATGTGTGAATATCGCTAATCCTTTTTTGCAATATAATATGCACGAATAAATATGCAAAAGTTTGATTAATTAATTAAGGTGTGAGAAATTCAGTTTTGTATAACAAACGAATGCCCCTTGTCAAATGTTAACGGAAAGCTATCTAACGAACTAAAAAGTGATCACATTTATAACGAGGCAGCGGTTTAAAAAGAATTAGATTTATATTTCACAATTTTTAAATAAATATTTTAAGGAAGGAAAATATTGTTTATAATATGCTGAAATGATCTACTAAAATCTCGAATCAAACAACAAATCTTAATTGTCAAAAAATTCAAAGAATACAGCGCGTCTCATTTGATGTCGCTGATTGGTTAACATATAAGTATATAGAGATTCAAATTTTTCGAGCCGGCCAGTGCACAAAAAAGTGTTAGTTTTGAGTCTAAGTAATATAACTTCTAGGGTTGTCCCAGGTAACGCTAAAAAAGTGGTATACCCGGGAGAAAAAGGTCCCCAAATTGGTAAAAAAAAAATTTAACGTGTAAATGATTATGTTAAAATTAAAGAGGGAAGACCAAGGTATTTTTTAATTATTTAAAAAAAAAAAATTTTCATTTGCAGCATTTTTTAAATTTAGTTTGAAAACCTTGTTTTTTTAGGTCAAAAATTAGGTTAAATTAGCATTATTTTTTTTTCACTATTTTCAGTTGGAAAATACACATTGATTTGGAAAATCTTGCAAAAATCAAGTACTTGTTGGATTTTTATGAAACTTTCAGAACTTATTCACAAATGAATGAAATTATTTTAGAAATGTTTGTCTTTTTGAAAGTTATATTATAAATATTTTTTTTATATATGTTACACCCCCCGAACTTAATTTTATGAAAACTTCAAAAATTTATTTTTGTATCTGGATTTTTTTTTATTAAATGCACAAGACTCTGAAGATTCTAAATCATCGATTTTTTTGGTAAAAAAATGAGTAGATTTGTCCACTTTTACCTCAATTGTAAACATACAAAACCCAATAAAACTAAGACAATATTTAATTAAAAAAGCTTTTTATGACTTTTCTGAATAACATATACTAAAGTAATTCTTACATGAAAAAAAAAAAAATTTGAAGAAAAATGAATTTTTACAATAATTTTTTTTTTTTTTTTTTCTATTTTAAATACACAAATGACAAAATTCACAAAATATTAAAATATATTTTAAAATTAAGTTTCTTTATGCAACCTCATGGAAATGACATATTTTGTTCTCTACTTTTTGAAGATCATAAATTTGAAAACTTATTAAAATCTGATAACCAGTGATATTTTTAAAATAATTTTTTAATATTCCAAAATTGTATTTAATATCGTCTCCAACGAAAGTATGGATGCACAGCTTTGAAATAACGTCACGTGAGGTAGAGTTGTTTCCCTTGATAGAAGCAAGTTCTTTTTACTTCAGAAATTACTTCGCATTCTTTCTGTTGACAACTAACCAACGCTTGTCAAGTTTTCTGACTGAATATCGTCGCATTTTCAAATTTTTTTGTTTTCAAATATAATCAATTTGTTCCTTTTTCTTTTCAGTTTTTAAATATAATCAATTTTTCTTTTTTCAGTGTGAGACAAACTGCAAAATATTATTTCATTTTTTTGTTTTATTCATTTTTTTTTACAGAAACGGCGAAGGGTTTTTTAGGGGACAAGAGAGTTAAGGTTTTTATTTTTGTTTTTTCACTGTATATTCTTTACTTTGTTTTATTTACTGTTTTATAGTGAGAGCCGTAAATTGTTTTTTAGTTTTAACTTAATTGAAACTAAAAACAATTGAAATAAAAAACGGAGGTCTTGAGCGTGGAACCACCTCTTAATTGCTGTTGTTCCCAGGTCCACTCTGACCCAGAGTGGTAGCACCTGATAGGGTCCCAGCTATGGGTAAATAGTGGGATAAAACAAAATATTGATCATTTACAATTACAAAAAATAAAAAAATAAAAAAAACCACCCTTGGAAGTGCACCCGAATTTTCAAGTTTGAAATCGATTGCATAGCATTTCAATGTTATTAATAAATAAAATATGTATAAAACTCCCATGACTGCCATATCACAAGTATTAATAAATAGAAAAAAAAAAATCTGCCTTAATAAAAAGAAATAAAATCTCATTTCATTAAGTTAACCTGTTTCAATTATGAAATTTAATGTTTCATGTAATTTTTATATTCTCAGAAAAATATTTCATGACAAGTAATAAAAATCAATTTTAAAAAAATGTTGTTACTGTTTTATTTTTAATTTTTACTTGTAAATTTTTTTTTTCCATAATTTAAATGTTATTTTCAGTGCAGAATTTTTCCCCAAACGTAAAGTTAAAAAAAAAAAAAAAATAATTTGAAAGTGAATTTTTTTTTAATTTACTAACCAGGTTCACTTAAAATTAGAACGAATTATATCACTTCTGTGCTACCGTACGATAAATACCCCTGACGTAAGTTGTCAACATATTGACATACATCAATTAACACACATCAAACACGCGCCAAAGCAAGCACCAAGGTTGGAAATATCTCTATTAAAAAATTTTCTGCTAAAAAAGTAAGTAATGTTTCTTTCAAATTACATTAAGTATACTTTAATCATTCTAAATTTCCTAAGATAACAAAAAGAAAAAGGTGTAACTGAATTTTAAATGATTTTTGAATTAACTTTGATTTTTTGTTTACAAAATCAGACAGAAATGGTCGATAAATCGAATTTGTTAATTTTTTTTTGCTTCAAGAAAAACGAGATTTTTCAAAAAATTTTAAAAATATATAAGAAGGATTGAAAAATCTGGAAAAATATTTAAAAAATACTTTGGCCTTCCCTCTTTAATTCTAACATAAACATTTACACGTTAAAATTTTTTTTTATCAATTTCGGGAACTTTTTCTCCAGGATATACCACTTTTTTACCGTTACCTGGGACAAGCCTACTTAAATCTATTGCATTTTTCTACAATTCTGTAACAGGGTCGCATATCTCTCTCTCTCTCTCTCTCTCTCTATCTATCTATCTATCTATCTATCTAAATATACATATATGTATACACACACACACACATATATATATATATATATATATATATATATATATATATATATATATATATATATATATATATGCATACCCACATATATATATATAATTACATATATACATACTGAAAAAGATTTCGTGTAGCGTTCATCACAAATGCCATATTACAGT